TATCAAACTAAAAAGTTTCTGCACAGCAAAGGAAACAATCAACAGAGTGAAATGACAACCTGCAGAATATGAGAAAATTTTTGCTAACTATGCATCCGACAAGGGATTAATATCCAGAATATACAAGGAACTCAAGCAATTACACAGTAAAAAAAACAAATAACCCAATTAAAAAATGGGCAAAGGAGCTGAACAAACATTTTTCAAAGGAAGACATACGAATGGCCAATAGGTACATGAAAAAATGCTCAACGTCACTAGTCATCAGGCAAATGCAAATTAAAACTACATTGAGATACCACCGCACTCCAGTTAGACTGGCTATATAATCAAAAAGATGGTGAATAACAGAAGCCAGTGAGGGTGTGGAGAGAAGGGAACACTCCTGCACTGTTGGTGGGACTGTAAATTAGTACAACCACTATGGAAAACAGCATGGAGGTTTCTCAAACAACTACATATAGAACTGCCATATGATCCAGCAATCCCACTTCTGGGTATATACCCAAAGGAATGGAAATCATCATGTTGAAGGGATACCTGCACTCCCATGTTTATTGCAGCTCTGTTCACAACGGCCAAGAAATAGAACCAACCGAAATGTCCATCGATGGATGACTGGATAAGGAAACTGTGGTATATATACACCATGGAATACTACTCTACCATAAAAAAGAATGGAATTCTCCCATTTGCAACAACATGGATGAGCCTGGAGAAACTTACGTTGAGTGAAATAAGCAAAGCACAGAGGGATAGATACCACATGTGCTCACTCATATGTGGGAGCTAAGAGAGAAAGAAGGAAGGAAAGACCACAGTGCTGCGTTGGACTTGCAGAGGGAGAGAACATACCTAGGGATACAAAGTGGAGTGCGGGCGAGAGGGATAGGGAGGGAGGTCAGGGATCATTGGGTGGGGGCCATGCGGTACAAACGCAATTTGTTGTAATGGGCATGCTGCCAGTATGGATGTGGCCTTCACATCTTGGGCAGGAGGGGTGACAATTAGCTTGGTGTCTCATGAATATTCATAACCAATAAAAAAAATTCAAAACAAAAAAAAGAAAGAAACTGGTGTCCAGATTCAGAGATGTTAAGTTCCCGGTCCACAATCTAGAATTCAGGCCACTTCTGAACCATTCCACACCTGCCAGAGTTTCACTAGAAGGGTTCGGAAGTTGTCAACATATAGTTCTTAATGAAGGGCGGGGAAAGTTACACATGAGGGTTCAGAGTGACGTGCACACCAGGGATGATTATTGCACCAAACAAGGCCCGCCTTCCCCTGTGTCCTCAGCCCCCGCCCGGGCCGCTACTCACGGAGGTGGTGTGCATAGCGGAGGTGGAACGCGTCGCAGCCGTGCACGTGGTGGTACAGGGTCTTCTCAATCAAGTCCTGCGGCTCGTACCCGGTCAGCTCGGTCACCCTGGGGGAGGACGGCGGCTGCAAGAGTTATGCTGCTCTGCAGATTGCCTTTCATTTGAACTAATATTGGTTTTGCCAACTAATCAAGTGCTAAAAGGCTCATGGGGGAAATGTTGATTTTGGAAACTGAGAATGATCTTTTTTACAAGAAGAAAGTCTTTGAACTCTAGCCCAGTGTAGGACGTAGCACTATTCGTGAGGAGAAATGTTCTTCCGAAACCACTGGCTAAAAGAATGTTTGTGATGGCTTAAAATCACAGCCTTTTTCAAGGTAACGCTTATCTGAGGACGCTTTAGAGGGCACTTTGATACTGATATTGGGAGAAAGCTGCCACGGTGAGAAAAAACCTGCTCTCTTGGGGCTTTTGGGGCATAGTCCTCTGCAAAACTTTTTTTTATTGTGGTGAAATATACATAATATAAAATTTACCATTTTAAGTGTACAATTCCATGGCATTAACTACATTTACACTGCTGTGCAGACATCTCCACTATTCCTGTGCAGAGCTTTTCCATCACCCAAACAGTAATTTTGTCCCCATTAAATGTTAACTCCCCAGTCCCCACTCCTCCAGCCCCTCGTCTCCTCTGTTCTTTCTTTTCTTATGAATTTGTCTCTTCTAGATATTTCACATAAGTGGACTGATAAAATATGCGGCCTTTTTTGTCTGGCTTCTTTCACTTGGCATAACGTTTTAAAGGTTCATCCACATTGTAGTGTGTGCCAGAACCTCATCCCTTTTATGGCTGAATAATATCCTCTTTTATGTAGATCCCACATCTCATTTATCTCTTCATCTGTTGATGGACACTTGGGTTGTTTCTTCATGTTGGCTGTTGTGTATGTCAGCGTCTAAATCTCCACTCCACGCTGGACGCTGTTCATTGGGACAGTTGGTCTCAGGATGCTGTTCAGATGATTTCTATTAATGGGAGTTGTGGAATAACTGGAGACGTTTTAGCCTCGAATCGGTGGAGGATTGTCTCAGACCCCCCAGAAAACAGTATAACAATGGAAAATATTGTGACTGGAAGGCAAACCTCGAGCTCTCTACAGAAAGGGAAGCATATTTCCAGTGCTTAGACGACTCGATCCTCTTTATTCTCACTGAGCCCCGGGCATATTAATTTCCCGCTTCAGCGCTTTGAAGAAAAGCTGCTCTCAGCGTCCAAGACCACATCATCGCTGGCACTGGGCTTACTCCATCCACAGGTGAAAATTGCGTGTGGCAATGTATGGTTTCCCAGGCTTTGGGCAACTGAGCTGGGAACCATGCCCTTGGAGGTGGCCCTAAACAGCTTGGTGACAGATATTCAAGAACAGATGAAAGAGAAGGACAAGAAGGGACTCCAAAAGAGGCAAGGCTATGATGAGAATTCAGTCCCCGGGGGTGGGCTGTGGAGGGGGGCGCCGAGGAAGGCCAGGACCAGGGGCCCTGCTTGCTGGGATATGAAACATTAGCCGTAAAACTTGGGAAACTTGACCTCACTTTCCTTCTCTAACCCGCTTCCCTTTCTGGAGTTCTGCTCAGGCTTTGGGTCGTAAATCTCTGGGAGCCTCATGTTTCCCTGGAATCACTCACTATTTGGTGTGCACATTTCCATGGTGTTCCTCCAGGGTGGGAAGGAGACAGGGCTCGAGCTGCGTGGAAAAGTGACCTCGCACAGTCCAGAGCCATTCCGGCCTCGAGGGACCCATCCAGGGGCCACCCTAGAGCTCCAAGCCCCATTGGAGTCTAACTCTTTGTGGCAGGAAAGTTGAGACGTCTGGCTTCCCCCAAAAAGAAAACCAGGCATCTCCACGGTGTGGGGATGAAAGAGGCTTCCCAGACCCTTTGGATGGAAAGTTATAGAACAACAGCCCCAAACGTGTAAATGAATCAGAAACACATGTATTAAGTTTCTCATCAAAGTACACACTGGCTTTAAAAATTAAAGGGAAAGGGAAGGGTTTGGCAGACACCCTTCTGTTTTTTTCCAAACCTCTAGTGTCTGAAGACCTGTCAGAGGGACCTGCCAAACCCCAAACATCGCTGGGTTCACCCATCCTTAGCAAAAGCACCAGCTACTGTTTCACAGTGAAATACCACAAAGCCCCTATGAACCAAGTTTCAGGTTATTCCGAGTTCAGTTGTGTCTGGGATTGTGCTGAGTGGGGTGCCAGCTGGGCCCTCTCGGTCCACCACCCTCACTCCTGTGACTTGGGGCCACTGGGCCTCTGCCAACCTCTTGCCATGGCTCCTGGGGTTTGGAAGCAGAAGCTGACATCTCCCACCCTACCTGGCCACTCTGCTGTCTCCCAGTGCTGGACCAGCCTAGGCCCCTGTCCTGGCCTAACGGACTTTCAAAGACTGTCCAAACTGCAACAGACAGAAGAGGTAGTGACTGAAGGAGTCTCCAACGCACGCTGACCCCTTTAAGCCTCTCCTATATGACTGGAGTTCAGGAAGAGCCTCAAGTCTTTGCCAGAAGCTTCCAGACACTTGGTGGGAAGAGCTGCAGGGTTCTGGTAGGGACCGGAAGTCTCCTTCTTGTCTGCTCGCTTCAGGGGCATGGCCACCGTGCCCTGAGGAACAGAAGACCCCATGGGTGCCCAACAGAGCCCATGGCCGAGGTGCCCCTCAGGCAGCAGGCTGGCCTCTGAGCCCCCCTTCTTCTGCCCTTTGCTGTGAAGCCCTCGCATTTCAAAACTGCAGACTGAACAACTTGAAGAGACCTCAGATCTCTCTTCTGGGGAAGCCCCCTTCTTTCATCTTCTAGAGAATTCATTGAGTCTCAGCATTTTTCCTAAATTATCAGAGAAAAACTAGAAGATAAAACAAGGGAGAAATCATTGGGTCCTCCCAGATTTCTTCCGTGATGACTTTGGATAGCCAGTTTTCTTCCAGCCTGCTTTCAGAAGTGGAAGTAGGAAAGTCCAAGTCAGAAGTCCTAGTCAGGAAAGAAGTCCTCTGTCACTGTGCACCTCTCATCTGCGTGGCAGGAAACAGCATCTGTGGGCGTTGGGCCATCACAAGAGGGGCTGACAGCCTCCCCCAAAGGTCATATTTACTCTCTGCTGCGAGTTTCTGGGAAGACAATGGTGACTCTGTCATGCCAACTCCTGTCGTTTCTCCACCTTTGAATGGTGCTCAAGTGCATTAATGATGAAATCAACTAATTCCTGTCTTCGCCTCCCACACCTAACCAGGTAGATTTGTTTTTTCAATAAGGAATCAATAAGTGGTTAAAATGATCAATTTTATGTGTTGTATATTTTACCACAATTTTTAAAAAGTAAAAAACAGAACAAAAAAACCAAATAATGGAAGAAAAATCAGTAAATCCTGGCTTCAAGACATACAGAAAACTATATACATATTTATACTTTCTCCCAGAAAGCTCAGCCACACAGTTCAAGTCAGGAGTGGGGTCTCTGATTGCTTATTCCTGTCTGTACAGCTACAGACTCTGCGGGCCCAGGACACAGAGCAGCCTTGCCAGCGTGTGAAGCTTTACTTAACAGCCTGTGCGCAGTGAGTGGCCAGGGCAGGTCTGTCATTTGCCAGATAATAAAAGGGAAGAGGCCCAACCTCCCCAAGGACTTGTGAGGACTTCGATCACCCCACAATGTATACATGTATCAGAACATCACATTGTACCCCATAAATATAAACGGTTATTATTTGTCAATTAAAAAAAAAACTGTGAGGCCTGCAAGCTCCCTGAGGGAGATCCAAAGCCGCTCCAGCACAGGCCTCCAGAGCAGGCCTTGCTGAGGCCTAGGGAAACAAGAATCGGGGCTTCTGCCTCGTTCCATCTGCCTTCTCCTAGTCCACATGCAGACGAGGCACTGGCCAAACTTGTGGTCAGAGTGTCCCCCTAGGGAAGGTGACCTCTCAGCCCCAGCTCTCATGGCCTCAGGCCAGCTGGAGTTGGAAGGCTCCCCCTCCACATACACTCTGCTCAGTGTGGTAACCGCCTGTTTGTTTTAAAGTCCTACCAACTTGGCAGAGATATGAGGCAGAATTCTGACATCATCGACCTTCAGAAAAGGCTAACTTATGCCTACAACGCATATTTCCGTTTGAAACACCAGTGAGATGATTAAAATATAAATAAATTAATTAAATTAAATTAAACAAGTCCCTGAGTCCTAAGGCTGACATTAATTCTTTCCATTCATGACTTGGTTTCACCAATTCTCTTTCTCGTACGCATTCTGTGTATTACTTATTCCCTGTTTCGGTTTGGCTTCATATCACAGCTTTCAGGGGCCAATTTCCACCATTGGTGTCTTCCAGAATGCCACAGTAGTGGCGGTGGCTGGTGCTCAACTCACCTGGAATCCAGGAATATGAGCTTCAGGTCGAGGCTGGCCCTGAACATGAACATGTTACTGTGCAGTTTGATCTCGGTGATGGCACTGGGCGGCAGCGACTGGCCCACAGCCACCAGCCCCACGATCTGGTAACAGGAGTCGTACAGGGACATGTCCAGCATATACTGCCTGATCTTCAGGTAGCCGCTGCAGTGGATAACCTGGGGAAGCAGAGGGCAGGGTCAGCTACTGGCTGGCGCCCACTAGTCCTGGCTGATTTTCTGGAAGGTGCTGGAATGTCCCACAGCCCAGCTTGTACTGGGCTGTGCAGCCAACATGCTGATAGATGTCCGATTCATTGTACAGAAGAAATGAGCTGTGCTTCTTTCTTAGGAAATGATATCATGATAAAATATAAGGGTTGTCTTATTGAAATGACTATGCACGAGTAATGCCACAAGCAAGGGCTCTCGGATGTATGTCGGGTGTGTGTGGAATTGACTCGTTGCCAGTTGTGATTAGGTAACGCGACAAAGGCTTTCCGGGGACAAGCAGTTTGTTCCCCAATGCTCTCGGTAGCACAATGCTCACCACCTTCCAGTGGGACTGACCTGATGTCTCTATCACATGACATGCTATATCACTCCACCAACTTAAGAATTCTTTCAGTGGAATTTTACGGTCTTTATTTTTAATGTATTTTTATTTTTATGTACTAACCTTATTTATAATTCAAGATTTTATCCCCTCATAATAAACAATAAGCCCGAATGGCTATACAGAAGTACTTATAATGGTTACAGCCAAAAACCATACAGGAGGGAATGTACAGTGTGCCAGAGTCCTACAGAAACATCTGGACAGCCTTAAGCCTCACTCTTGGAAGCATTTATGTAAGCTACAGCCAATAAAGTCTTGATAGGATCATAATCATCATAACAGCCGCGATGAACAGCTAAAATCTTAGCCTTAAATCCTCTTTTCAAAAACCCCTCCTCCAGGATTCATGAATGCACTCAGTCTTTAGAGCCGAAACAAATCTTAAAATCCTTCTAGTCTATTCTCCCATTTTACTGGTGAGGAAACCAAGGACAAGAGAGCCGATGGCTTTGCTTAAGCTGAGACGGTTGGATGTTAGTCAGCAGCAGAGACAAGTCAGACATTCCAAATCTGAAAAATGTCTGCTCGGTGCAGGCGGTGCTGGGAGCTCCCCACCCCCACCCAAGGAGGCTTAGAGACCGGGACAGCAAATAAGGAATGGTCCCCCAAACCTTTACCTCACGCAGACAGACTGAGGTGAAGGTCAGAAGGAAAAGCTCAGAGTGGGTTTCAAAGGAGGTGTGGATGGGGACTGCGGGGAGGCAGACCTTGGGATGGGAGGCGCTGGGGAGGAGCATTCCAAAAAGAGAGAAAGGAAGTCCAAAGGTACCAAAGTGTCCCCTCTGTCTCCCCCCCCCTCCCCACTCCTTGTATGGGGCAAATGCTCCTGGAAGGTTCCCAGCAGCCCCAGCTGCAGAGCAGGGGTTGTGATGTCAGGGAGGACTCCTGGGAGGAGAGTGCAGAGCTCCAGGGAGGGCAGGAAAGGGCTGACAGGGGCTCCCAAGGCTCAGCACAGCCTGCCCGACCCACCTTCTCTCCCATGCCCAGGCACAGGACTGCCAGCCGGCTCTTCCAGGTGAGCTGCTCCTAGATGCCAAAGTTAACCAGAGCAAGTGGCGATGTCTGGCAGAGAAGTGTGGCAAGGAGGAGCGCAGGCTGGGCTCAGGGGTCCCAGCTCGGCCACTCAGCCTGGCCTGCCCCCCAGCTGTGTCTTCTGCCCCTTCAGCTGCAGTCCTTAATCATGAATTGGGGCAATAATATGGCATGGGGCTGCTGTGACTCTCACTAAACTGACTGAGGGGATGCTGTCAATAAGAGCTCCACCTTGTACCATGGTCATGCACAGCAGCATCATTAGCGTGGACCTGGCCGAATGTTCGAGAGCAACGTCTCTGCACTGAGTACTCACTGGCACCTGGGATCTTGCCCTGGAATGTGGATTCTCAATAAACTCTAGGGGCAGCTGCTTCAGTGGGACTGACCCATATCTGAAGTGAAGTCTACCCTATGCCACGTTGACTCCTGGTCTTATGTGATGACCTCCAGTTGGCCTGGAATGTCCTTTCCAAAAGCCAGCGCTCACACGCCAGCCAGTCACCGAAGAGTTCTGCATCAGCGGGGCAACAGGTGGGGGTGCTATGCCCTCCCATCTGCAGATGTTCTCGAGTGTGAAGCACAGCACGAAACATGCAGGGCAGACCCCGCCAGCTCCTGCCCACCCGCCCGCGGCTCGCGTACCTTGTATCCACTGCACGTCAGGCCCGCATTTCTTTTCGCCAAGACACACTTCATTCGAAGAAAGAAGGACCTCTCTATCTCATACTCTGCAATCAGGAGCAAGGTTAGGTTGGCCACCGTCATGCCACACCTCCCCAGCTTTCCCCCAACAGCCTTGATAAACTCCCAGGGCCAGGTCCAGCCACCAGAGACCTCCTCCTGGTACTCCCAGACCCTGACCCAGAAGCTTCCACCTGCGACTGAGATCTGGGTGGGGAGGGGAGAGACTGGCCCAGTCCTGGAATGGCTTCCAAGGAAGGCAGCCCAAAACATGGCCACAGCAAGAACCTCCAAAACACCAGCCTGGAGTCAAGGGGTGGGCCCGTCAAAGCTCCACCTGTCATTGTCCCCTCCTGGAGGCCACAGAGTAGCATGATGCCAGGGGAGACACATGGGCCAGTGCCAGGCAGGTGCCTGAATACCAGGAAGGCCCAGCTGATCCCGCTTGGTCAGATCAAAGCTTTCACCCTCACTTCTAGCCCTGGGAGGACCAGGCCTGTCCCTGTCTCTCCAGGCCTCACCCTTTCCCACTCACTCTCTTTCTCTGTCTAGGACAAAGCTTTTCTTACATAGACCTCACACACAAATTTCTGACCTTGCTGTTGCAAATGCAAATGAGTCCCCTGCGGAAATACCCTCTGCTTTAGAGAGGGACACCAGCACGCTGAGGCACAGAGAAGTGCCCAGACCTTGGGTGAGGGTGAGGTCACCCCATTCTAAATCAACAACCATTTGGTGGAGGTTAATAAATTAATCTTTAAAGAAGGGTTACTACTGGGAATGGAAGCGAGGTCTTCTGCTCTCCCTGTGGAGGTTAGGAAAATGCCCCAGAGGTCCCCCCACCCCCAGTTGGAGAGGCTGCCCTATTTTACGCACAGCCCCTCCTGCAGTTGGGATCCGTGGGCATAAGGCTTCCCTTTAGCATGGCCGCCCCCCGAGCCCTTCCTAGATGAGCATTGAGGTGTGGCAACTCAGGTCTGAAACACATCACCCGGTACCATAAAGCAACAGGGGGTGGTCAGACACAGAAGATCAACTCTGCAAAGAGCAGCTAAGGAGAAAACCTGGTGCTTGGGAGCCTTGCCCCCGGCACCTCGCAGCTGGCTGTTGAAATGACCCAACACGCAAGCGGGGCAGGGAATGGTCGTGGAAGGGGCTGACTGTATTCCCAAGATTCATTGGCTTTCATTTTACAGACACTTTTTTGGAGGCCATGACACAGAAAGGATAACATGAACCCAGGGCTCACGGGCGAGAGGCCACTCCAGGCAATCAACATACTGTGCAGTTTCAGACAATGACAGCACAACGTTCTGCGGAAGCTCTGACACTCCTCTTGTCTTTGTCCAACTTTAAACAACTCCACAGTGAAAGAATTTGATGCAGGTGCGATGTTCCAGCCTATCCCTCACTGTGTTACAAATGACTTCTTCAGAGTCATTATTCACATAACTTATGTGGCCATAGCATTTCCAAGGACGTCAGTGTCACAGACCATCTCATCTCAGAAATCAACATACCAGTCTCCCTCCTCCGTAAGAAATAATTAGACTCGAATGAGCTCCTGGAGCTAGAACCTGGGGGCCACAGAGCTGTGTCTGTGAGGGTTCTACAACTGAGTATGCGCTTCTATATTCTATCCTCCTGGCCTCAGAATGACCCTGCCCAGGAGGGAGCAATGAGAATGCGGCTCATCTTCTGTGGCTAGCAACCCCTTCTCATGGCTCTTGAAGTTTCTTCTTTTGCATTTTGTTCCACTGGGGAATTTTGGCCAAGTTGAGTACTGCAGTCCAAATCACACACGAGGCCCATGAGTCAGCATGCTTGTTGGTCTCATTGGACTGTCAGAGGGAGTTAAAAGGCCAAGGCCCCTGGAATAAGTTCCTCAGTATCTTTCTAGCACTCATCGCAATTGTAATTTAAGGAGTCATTTGTGTAATGACCAGAGCTTCTTAACTGATTTGTGCCATGGCACAAAACCTACAGATTCCTACTCAGAATAACATTTTTAAATGCATAAAATACATAAGATTATGAAAGGAACCAACTGTATTGAAAAATAGTTATCAAAATATTTAAACACATAGTGATGTGGATATAAATATGCTGCTTTATTAATACATTAAGTAACAATATCCAGTAGCAGGTCTCATAACTCCCAAAATTTCGAAGTAGCCATGAGCATAAAAAATATATCTGCAAGAACGGTAATGTGATATAAAAATATCTGTGATTTCTGTTGTTGGCAAAGCCACAGGTACTAGTGATCCTAAGATGGTTTATCCTCTATGGTCATAAGCAAAGGAAATGCAGAATTCCAGCTAGAGAAAATACAGATGTAATTTCCCCATGCAATTTCATGGACCCCCCCATCTCCCCTGGCAAGTTCTATCCTTGGCCCCTTGGTTAAGAAACTGCCCAAGTCTAGAGCCTGATACTGCTACCCTGGAGTTCTCAACCAACATCACATTAGGGGAACAGCCTGTGCTCACTTTTGTCTCCTGCCCAGCACTTAACACAGTCTCTGGCATATAATAGGGTTTAAAAGACAGAGGCATAAATGCAAATTCCTGCTTGGTGGATGCTCTGTGTTTGCTGGAGAGACCTGGGCTGGGAGGCCCTGGTCTTGCCCCAGCGCCTTGGCTGGTGTGGAATGCAAAGCCCCAGGGTCACATTTAAGAACATCGTCTTGTTTTCATTCTGTTATCTTTTTGTCTGCAGGAAATACCTTGGAGCAGGTGATGGTGAAGAGGCTGGTGGGCCGTGAGGACAGCCGTCATCTCATCATGGTCGGAGGGATGGATGTACTCGTAAATGCTGTTGCCTGTGAGCTCCACCTGCCGCGGAAGGAAGGGTCAGAAATGCCACTAGTCTCTCTAGGATTGCCTTGCAGGGGGGTGGGGTGGGGGTGGTGGCAAGGTGTGTCACAGGTATGCACCCTGCCAGGGGCAGGACTCTGATCTCCACTTACAAACCACACCTTTGTCAAATGCAGAAACATTTTAATTTTCTCCCCAGAGCTCTGAACTGTCTCCCATACTTACTAAAAACGCCAAAAAACTGAGGCTTGGCTTGGAGCCAAGAGAGTCCTTAGCAGGAAAAACTGGAAGTGAAGGGTGAAAGGAGGGCCTTGGATCCCATGCCCTGGGCACCATCCTGAGTACAGAAGGTGGCTCAGAACAGACTCAAGCCAGGCTTCTGTCCTTCATGCTCTCTGAGGGGACTGGCTAGCTGGAGACCAGCCACCGTGTCCAGAGTGTGCTCCCTATGACAGCTTTGTCCACTCAGAGGCTGACCAGCCAGGAGCCATAGACCCCACTGTGCCTGAGGAGGACTCCAACTCTGACAAAGGCCTTTTCTTTGTTGGCTCTGAACCGTGCCCCTCTGGCACTGCCAGGCCTCTCTCACGTTGCCAGAAATGTGTCCCTGGCCTTCCTGGCCCAAGATGACTGTGCTAATTCTACACTCCCGCCCAGGGGTGCGGCTGGGTCTGTGCGTGACCTGCAGGAGTGTTTGGGCCCTCTTCAGACAGCCACATTATGTGGTGACTATTCCCTGAGGTTGCTGCCCCAACATTCAGACACACCCCACAGAGGACACCACAGCAAACCTAGAGTCCACATTCACCCCGGACAGGACGCTGCTTTGCAGGAGTGGGCGGCTCCAGGAAAGCACCATAGTTATGATTTCTACAGAGGTCGCTGGTGGCCCAATTCCTGAGTTTGAGAATCTTTCAAATGTTCTCCCAAACACATGTGCCATGAGAGGAAATGATACAGATTCTCAAGACTTGGGCCCCCTCAACCAGCTTAAGATGGGCAGTGTCACAGAACGTTCCAGAAACCACCACCATCAGAGCAGCTTTTGGAGCAGTAGCTAGACCCTATTTTTAGTTCCACAATCAATAGTGCTGAGGTATCAGGCAAGGACAGTGAGTCAGCGTACCCCAGTGCTGTTCAGGGGAGCCCGAGGGGCAGTGATAGGACTTCCACCATAGCCAGTAGGGACCCCAAAGCCCAGCGTGGGAGGAACTCCAAGCACATGGAAAAACTGCCCTTGGACAGCAAAAAGTCTCGGGTGGGTCTGAAGAATACCTTCTCAGCCCTGCCCCAGGGGGAGAGAGTAACCTAAGAAAGCACAAGGAGGCTCATGGAGCTTCTTGTCCCTACCCACCCCCTAGTTATTTTTAAGTGTGTCATGCTGCAGGTTTCACTGGGAAGCTTGTTGCTCTCAATCAGAGAAGAGACAACGTGATCCTCTATAAAGAGGCAGCCCTGGTGGTGCCACCTCACGCTACAGGACAACCTGGCCAGGCAGCTTGCTGGAGAAGTTCTCCTGGGAGCCACCGATCCAAATTAGCATCCAGGCCATTCACTCTTTACTTGGGACCAAGGGGCCATAAAGAGGTGAAGTCACTTATCCCACTCCTCTGAGCCAGTTCTTCCAATTTGTTAAGATGTGTGAGTTGCCTTTTTATTCAGAATAAATTACGTTTCTGGCCTGCTAAGTAATCTTGTCCCTAAAATGGCTTTCACGTTCTATTTTCTGCATTATTCATGGAATGTTTCTCTCCAATATTATTCAAACAGAGCAACAGAGAGAATCCTATTACAGAAATCCTCCCCACAACCTACTTAACACCCACCACCCAACCTGGCCCTTTTCTCTTGACCCCAATGGAGATTTGCCTATGTGAAAAGTTATTACATGATTTCATTAAAAAAATAAATACAAACTAAACATTCTTCAAGTCATTCCAGTTAATCCTTAAATTTAAGTAAACCAGCAACACTGAAGCCATCCATCTGGGATAGCACAATCTCTTTTTTCCCGAGGGCAGCCTTGGGAATCATTGTGAAGCTCCTTCAAGATGGGAAGTGATAGAGGCTCATAAATAAGGGAGCTAGCTTTTTTTTTTTTTTTTTTTTTTTTTGATTCACAATATCAATGGCTTATTTTAAAAATGAAAAAATAACAAAATGGAATTTTTTTGTATTGAACTATCATTTCTCCCTTACCCATGTTTTTAGGGAAAAATAATAACTCTGGTTTGCTCAAAGTTCTTTTTTAGAAAAAAATAACTGCTATCTTTTTAGAGAAACATCTTCATATACCAGCACAAAGACTTGCATCTGTGTGTATAGGCATTGGATTTGCGTTTTAATCCCAAAGTAGCTTCATCTGTTTTCCAAGTTCCCATTCTTACCATATGCATTTGGGGAATGAGAAGGTGAAGATAATGTGGGGAAAAAATCCTGATTTTCTGAATACTTGGGTTCATTACAAAATGAATAGGAAAACTCTAAGGCTGTCTAGGAAGTAGAACGGCCTTCAAATAATGGAAATATTTTTAAAGAACAAGTTTTAGAATGATGAGACAGTGCTGACCTTAATTCAAAATTATGGTTGACATGGTGTTTCCTGTATTTACATATCTATTTGTGCTTTTGAACGTTGAAAGAAATTTGACTACCTCACCAAAAAAAAAAAAAAAAAAAAAAAGAATTATGGTTGTCACTATAAAACTTCCCAGGTCTCATACATCAGCCTTATTAAAACAGACCCTCGATGTGATATTTTAGTATTTGTAAAGCCCCACTAACTACAGAACGAATGACTTTCCTACTAAGAGCTTTTTTATGTTTTGCTGAATAGCTTTTCTTCCTGCCAAGAAAACTATATATGATAAATACAGCACTAAATGGATATGTTCTGTATGGAAGGGCAGAGCCACTCTGCACTCTGCAAACTCACGTTACTCTGTTTTTGGTGTTTTGTTGAGCATGGTAAGTTAAGCATTTTAAAATAAGATGGTTTGGGTTTCAGGGTTCAAGTTATGTCAACAAACGTAAAACGCTTTCCTATCTCTTTATTTCAAAAGTAAAAGGATTAGGTCTTGTGCCTCCAAACAAACAACACCATCGCTATTTTTGTGGTTGTATTTCTGGCAGCAATCTCAAATATTACATTTTTTTAATGTGTCTCATAAACAGCTATTTTGTACATATTTATATTTATTTGAAAATGTATATTAGTTATCTAGATGCTATATAACATATGCAACTTTGGTAAGGAAATTTGAACCACAAGAATACTTAAAAATGTACACAGCAGCTACACAGGGGTTTTTTTTTTCCTTCCTCAAATATAAGTAAAATAATTGCATTAACCAAAAAACCATGGAACTAAATCATTTAATAAATATGCATAGATAAAGAATGTTTCCCCAACTCTACATCATTCAAATAGATTTAAATTTGTCTATACTATGTGTGTGTATAAACACCAGATAGAATTTTAATGTCAGAAGCTTGCCTCTATTTCCCAACACGTGGACCCTGGGCTGAGGATACAACTTGTATTTTGTGATTGTCTCTGTTAACTCCTTTTTAGTACTGAAGTTTGACAGCAATGACACTTGTTTTCTAGTTTATTATTTATTTATTTAGGCAGCTGGCCAGTACAAGGATCTGAACCCTTGACCTTGGGGTTACCAGCACCACGCTGTCCCACATGAGCAAACCCGACAGCCCCTTTGTTTACTAGTTTAAAAGCAAAAATAAAATAATAAACTCTCCCATAAGAAGTAGATTTCTTATTCCAACACTGTTTAAAAAAAAAAAAAGTTTAATAAAAGTCTTTAAATGGAGATGGGCTTATAACACATAAAGAATCATTTCTACACCCGCAGATAATTCAAGTAGTTATTTAGGTAGTTCAGACCAAAACCAAACCAAAACAAAACAATACCACTTTGCTGTAAATTTTCACACAATTACAGCAGACCTAGGGGCTTATGTTCCCATGATCTTTTAATATAGAATTGAACCCTGAGGTAACATGAAAGACCTTGGTTACTTAATGAGATAATGTCACAGTGAGTAACTGAAAGTTCTTAGATCACAGAAAAGCACCATGTAAATGGAAGCTATTACTAAAACTACTATCACTATTCATCAAAAAACCTGTGTTAAAAGGGTACTCTGACTACTGGGTAAAATTTTTTAAACATTTTTTATATTTCTGGTATTTTTTTTAAACTAAGCCTATTTTAATAAAGTTTTCATATTTGATATATTTTCTTGACTTTTTGCTAACAATAAAAATGATCTAAAAGATGCAAATTTTTTTTAAAAAGAGCAGTTGGGTATTTGACATCCTTTTAATATTTTATTTTACTGTTTAAGTGATATATTTTCTTGACTTTTTGCTAACAATAAAAATGATCTAAAAGATGCAAATTTTTTTTTAAAAGAGCAGTTGGGTATTTGACATCCTTTTAATATTTTATTTTACTGTTTAAGTAAAGAAGACAGAAAAAAATATACATCGTGATTCTACTTAGATTTCCTTCTGTGGAGTTAATCATGAACAGGAGGCAGATTTGAGAGAAAAGTTTGTTGTTGCTTATTTAAACAGTTCACCATAGAACTCCCCAGACACTGACAAGGGGCTCATGTTGGCATTCAAGTGTTTTTGTAGCTGCAGACTGAGGCTTACACAGCCCGCCAAGAAATCAGAAATAGTCAGTTGCTCTACACAATCTGCTTGACTTATCTTTTTCTAAATTTTCACTTTTACTGGGAACACAGAGACAAAAGATATCTCTACAACTTTCTTTGAAAATGGTAGTGTGAAAGCCCTCTCCCCTTTCAAAATTATGATACGAAGTTTCACATCTGCATTATGATCAAAAGGAAATATAGTACTTTTATTTGCAATTCTGTCTAGATTTCCTTCCATGGAGTTAATCATGAACAGGAGGCTTATTTATCACCTATTCAACATTTCAGACATCCTTAATTATTATGTTCATGATCAATCAATTCTATTTCCCACATAAAAAAAAGAGAAAAATAACAGAGAGAAGTAGGGTGTTAGATTGAGCAGGCTGACTGAAGAAACTGGATTGTCTTGGGATGTGCACAATCCCTAATGATATGCCAGGACATTGCAAATGACCACTCCACCCTAATAGGTGCCCACCAAAGGACTCCACTTGAAGCAACTTTGTTCTCATGAAACTGGAGATGCCTGGCTTTTGTGTAGCTCCCTATAGTTGAGAAATCACATAAAATGGGCACTTTGGTCTATTTCTCATCACACACTGAAAGAGGGATAGAGCAGGCATTATTATTTAAGTTATGGTTCAAGGAGGTTTAGTAATCACCCTATCAGAAAATAAAAACCACACAACTGAATGCATTTCCCTGTTCACTTCGACTGTTAGAGAGCTCAGTTTTAAATTTAATATTCAATAACAGGGACTTTACCTATTTATAAAAGCTTTAACCAGTCATTTAAAAAGTATGTGAAATGTTTTGTCATGTTTGTGACATCATTGTAAGGCTATCAAAACTTTTATAAATTACCACTGAAGAAGGTAAGTAATCCACTCAAGGTCGTTTGACCAATGGATCGAGTCAGGAGTGAAAACCAGTCTGAGTATAACTATAGGGCCCTGAATAATTCTAAATAGGGAAAGTTGGAAATTCAGAGAATAGTAACCATGGAAAGTAGAGAAACAGTAAATTTCATATTCCCAACAGTATTTCCCATTCTACAAGTACACTAATCCCATGAGTCAGACACATACAAGAGCCAAGCCCTAGTAAACTGTATTTGGGAGACCTGGTTTCATAAAAGAGAAGATCAAGAGAAAAGAAACCTCCCAACAATTTTAATACGTGATTCATTTTAGGGGACTTTGCAAAAAAAAA